GTTTCATAAGCAATTTATTTCCAACTCTGAGCACTTCTATTACCTTTCATTGGCTTCTCTTCGATTAGTTGACATCCAAAGCCATAAAACTAAGCAATTTGCATCGAGCTCTCTTCTTCACTGACTGTCCCATCCTTAACTTTGAGCTTGATCCCAAGCCAATTTATTTTTATGCAGAAAATTGCAATGCGCTCTCGCCATGAGGATTTGCTGTCACTTGCGAACCGGCTTCTTATATATATATATATATATATACCTTTCTATATGTATATATATTCCCATATTTCTGATGCTGCTGCTGCTGCTGGTCAAAGGTAAAAGTTTCCTCTGAGGCAGCACTCGGGGCACTAAAAGTTTCTAATATTTTTCAGCACCTTAGCACCGGCGATAAGATCTCTCGCATCGCACGCTTCGGTTGTCCCTCAGTCTTTCCTCGCCCTGCGTCTTAATTAGTGGAATTCTATGCATTTTCCAGAGCTTCGGCAAAAGCCGGGGAATTGGCCAAGGAAAAATTGTAACCGGCTAAAGGTAAAATCGGGCAAAAGAAAATATAAAAAGAATCACCTGGGAAGTGGAAGCAGAACAAGTTTCGCTCTTTTGGCATAACTTTGCTAATCTTTTGTTACGCCAAAGTTTCGATGTAGATAAAAATGTGGCAAATAAAAATTGTTCAGGCGTGTTCTGGAACTCCCCTCGGTCTTTTAAGGACAATTTTGGGTTAGAGAGAATAAGGGGGATGAAGTGAAAAGTTAAACAACTCTTTTATTAAAACTACTTGTGCGAAAAAGGTGTTTCCGAACAAAGAGGATGTATTTATCTCACAAGAGATAGTAAAATAAATGTATTAAAATATTTATAATAAAAAGAACTAAACATTAAATAAATAATAACCAAATAAATATACTTTCCTGTGGTTTTTCCAACCCCCCTAAATCGTGTTAACAAACCCCATATCGTTGTCGCATCATTCATGTGCATTTTCAAACATTTCTCCGCACTTGCCGTCAATGCAACTGACAAGTTTTCAATCTCGGCTCGCCGGCAGCGTCAAAAATAATTGCAAAATGCATCAATCAGCTGTCAGGAGTGCGATTCGTCTATCCTTCGGCTCTAAAAATAAAAAATGAAAACTAAAGTTTTGGCAGACATTGCTGTCGCCGCCATCGTCGTTGGTCTGTCAGATGCAGTCGCTATATGCTGTATTAATGCCACGACAGTTCATATTTTGACATATCAAGCTGGCACATTCCCCGGCATATTTCAATTTGTCGTCGGTGGCGACACTTGAAGGAGTCGTAACTGCTCATTAGCCGGGATTACGTCTAGACCGCATTTCCGATAATTACTCTTGTATTGGCAGATGGCAAAAGTTTTTCGGCCCGAAACTAAATCGAGCACAAAGGAGGCCACAGAAGCCACAGCACGAGAAGGAGCTGAGGAGCTGAGGAGAGGCACAACAACTACTCGGAGCAGGACTTCGACTGGATGCTGGGATTATGGCCAGAGGACAAAGCGCAATCAGCAAGTTGACTGCGGTTATTCTCCAGCTCCTCCTTCCAAGTCCTTCGTCCATGCTTCATCATCCATCCGCCTAGTTGGCCGGCTAATGCGGTCGATGTCGCCAATGTCCTCTGATTGATTTTTACATGCCGCTTTTGTGGGCAATACTCGTCGTCCTTTCTGCCTCACTCTCCGCTCGTAATACTTTTAATTGACAATTGCGGAAATGCAGGGATACTGGGATAAAAATCCAGCTGCCGACCGCACAAAAGTTTTCAATATTTCAGCAGCAGCAGCAGTAGCGTCAAGTGACGGGACGAGACGGCCGTTCAATGTCCAAATTGGCATGCACATGTAAACGGGAAACAAGCAAATTGGTTAACAGAAAAACCGCAAAACCTTTTAATAATGGACAGGCCAAACGGGCAACGAGGCGGTGATGCAATATCAGGATAATGCCCCATAAAATATGTGTGTGTGTGTAATGGCTATTTGCAACATATTTTAGGGGAAATTATAAAATGCTTTAATTGAAATATAATAGAAATTTACAAGAAAGTAGCTTGAAATTTTGCAAATTAAATAAAAGAGTGAAAATATGGAAAAATTGTTAAGAGAATTATACAGAAAATAGGATATTTGTACTAAACAGTTATTAGATTTATTATATTGTTGCACGGTATTATTATTTTAGTCAGAAGCCCGTAAATAAGTGAAGGAGTCATATTCGACCCTATAAACCATATATATCCTTGATCAGCATCAAAAGCTGAGTTGATCTAGCCATATCCGGTCAAAAAATAAATTAATATTTATTGCAAAATTTGAAAATTTTGTAAGGGGTTAAATCGTTAAAATTGTCAAAAATTGGAAACAATTTGATTTTTTTTAAATTATAAATTGAGTATGCAGAGTTATTAAGAAAATAAAAAAAAAGGACAGCTTTCCAAATTAAAATTAATGAATTTTTTGCTTAGTTATGAGATTTTTTAATTTTGAATTGCTGAAAAAAATGCCATATAAAAATATTTATTATTATTAGTTAAAAAAGCGAATTTATTAAACTATCGAATTCCGATTCTTTGCTATATTTTAGTAGCATACTTCAAGGGTAACGGGTATTTCGGCTTCCGGAAGTTAGTTTCCCTTCTAGTTAAGTATCCATTTTGTGTTCTAAAATCGGTGTAAAAGGTTTAACAATTTAGTTTCTATATAATTTATATATTATTACTAACTTATTTTCATATTAACATATTGTTATTTAGTTTTGTATTTATTTTATTGAAATAAAACAATGGTATTATCTAAACATTTCCATTAATAACAAGTATAAACAATTGCCTTGAATTGTACCCCTGATTAGTTTCACAAATCCACTTGCAGTACAAATATTATTTTATGAATTGAGACACATCCTTGCGCAAATCCTTGAAAGCGTACCACTTCCTCCCTCAAACTTCCATTTAATATTCGTGAGGCGTTGTGTTCGTTGCGCAACATGAAACGTTCGCTGAAGACAGACCCGCAATTCCCAAAATATCAATTATAGGACCGAAAAATACGAGCCTTCCGAGGAAGGGGCCGGAGGAGTGTGGGGCGTCGGTCGGTTCTAATATAACTGGTAATTAAGGCGTACGCAGACAGGACGGCGTTGGCCCACTCCAGTTACCTACCGTTCGTCCCTCCGGGGTTTCCGGGACGCATTTGAAATGCTGGCAACGTAATTTGGCAATTTACGTGGACTCTGGCCAGCGTCAGTGGCAACGCAAAACTTATATGCGGGCGTTGAATTTCAATAAAATATGCAAGGTAAGTGATATGGCGGGCTGGCAGCTTCCTACGGTCGCGTTTCACAACTCAACCAGGCAGGCGGCGGAATGGTTAAAATAAATTAAAAATGGTGAATGCATATTTTGCACATTAATTGAAGATGACCGCTCATTAAGGCCGTCGGAACAGTGGAATAAACGGAGCTGCACTCGAAGCACGCATGCCACGTCCTAATTGGAATACACTAGCCAACAGGGTTTTTTTACGATTAATTATGTAAAAGTTTGTATAAAAGGAGATGTATATTTTTATATATATATATGTATATTTTTTGTTATATAAACTATAGATCAAAAAGTGATTCTATACTAAGTACTTTCAGTTTCCAATAGCTTTAAATGTATATTTTATTTTAAGCAGTTTTTCATTAATATTTGTTTATAAAGAGTTGTTATTATTTCCAAATTTGTATTAGTTACTGAAGGAAGTAGTTGCATTCTAATTAAAAGTAAACATTATTTTCAATGATAATTAATTATATCAATTTAATACTAATTTACTACAAAACTAATTACATTTATTTATAGGGTCGGCAATGATTCCTTCACATTCTTCACAGCTTTTGACTAAAATTATAATACCCTGTAAGAGTAATGCAATGCTAACATAAATTTTTAAATAAATAATAAATAAACAAAATGGCTTTAAAAGAAAATAAGGATTCACCAGTTATACCCATACTTGCAGGATTCGCTTTTCATGCTTCGTTAATCCCACTTGAACCGTAAAACCTGCTGGTCAGTGTAATCCACTGGGCATTCGGTACTCCATGGCCATGTAAATTGAGGCGCTTTAGCCCCGCCCTCATGCATTTCCATTCCAATGCGGCCCGATAATTAAGATGTAAGGCAAGTGGACGCCAATCATTTCGATAAATATTTAAAACGACAAACGCGGTCGGCATAAATCAATGAAAATTGTAAGTCCCGCCGTGACAGGCTCAATCGCAATGGAAATTGAAATGGAAATGGAAATGGCAATGGCAATGGACACGGCCACAGCAACGGCAATGGCAATGGCAACGGCAACCAAATAAATAAACACATTCGGGCAGATTTATTAGCACGTATGCCTGGCGGTCTGGACAATCTAGGCCCTCATTATGGTAAGTGATTCGCCGGCATCGCCTTTGCCTTTACCGAATTCCAGGAGCTTGGGAAACCCGGAATTTGCAGAAGGCGGCATTGGGCAATTGATTTGGCGTTTGCCTTTGATCGATTAGGGCCATCAAAGTAGCGCCCTTTGGCCCGGTCGCCTATTTACTTTCGCTATGAGAAATGGCCCGGACCTCGGCCGAAATGTGTGCCATTTCATCAAGGAACGCACCATTGGGCCACCCCGTCCGCCCGCCGAGTAAAGTGCCAGTGCACGTTTGGGGCCTCATTTGTTTTTATGCCGCAGTCGAGGGAGACCAAGAGATGGGGGTATTCGTCAATCCTAAGGTGGTCAAAAATGTATAGGCCTTACCTTAGAGATGACACTTTTCTAACGTGAGGAATGTGAGAGTTTCTAAACATACATTTTAATCATTTTTAGCCTGGTTTTACTGAGGAAATCCGTGGAAAAATAAGGACTACAAATAAAAACTCCTTTTCTTAAGTATATTTAGATAATTCAATAGCTTTAGGATGTGTTTAAATTACAAATCATTACTTGATTATGTAAATTCCCTACCATATTTCGCATTTAACTTCCGGATTAAGGACAGTGTCAGCTGGACAGTCGAAGACCTTGCCAAAGTCCTTAAGATTGCGCACCGCTTGGTTAAGCCTCACAGTCCTCCGCTTGTCCATCAAGTTCTGGGCAAAGTTGAGCAGAAAGAGTTGCTTCAGTGGCAACTTGGTAAAGTTAGGCTGTTCCTGGCTGAACTTGGAGTCCTCTCCGAAGTAGACATCATAGACCAGCCCCAGGGCCACCACATCCGTCAAATGTTCATCATGTATTGAGGATTCCTCGTAAACACTCATACAGTTCGTTGCCTCTACGTACGCTAAATTCTCTTTAAAATAATCCATAATTTCGCTATAATTGGACTCGTTGTCAAAGCGCATAAAATATGGGCTGAAATTCTCCAAGGCGGCGCGGATTATTGAAAACCCAAGCAGGCTCACCTTGAAGACATCGTGTTGATCCGGTGAAAAGTAGGGTTCCTGTAGGATATCATAGGGAACTACGACCAAGTTGCTCGTTTTGTAATGGGGTTCGGTTTGCAGGTTATAACCGTATTCTTCGAGCAGGAAGAAGTGGTTGCCCCTGAGCGTGGCTCGATCGAGTTGCTCTAGCGTGTGGCGAGTGTTATGTTCCATAATATTTAACTGGATTCTTGCCATGTCCGCCGTATCTATGTCCAGCTCAAGATCGGAGTAAAAGTCGTGGAGAAAACGACGCTGGTTGGCAATATTCGGCAGAGATCCCAGTCTGACTTTTATGGCAAGTAGTTTCTGCTTGACAAAGGATTGCTGTTCGGTTGTTAGGTTTAGCCGGTTCTTCTCGATCCTCTTCAGAAAGGCTGAACGGAACACCTCGAACATCTTCTGCACTTCCTGGTCATACCGCTGGTGTCTTCCCTGCCGAAAGTAGTAGTCTTTATACAGCATCTCGCTGGCCAGTTCCATGTGGCGATGCACTGCAGCCGCGCACTGATTCGGTTGGTTACTTTTGACCTTCTGCATTATATCCAGGTTAATGAGCGAGAAGACTATGCCAGTAATCATATACCCAACCACCACTTCCTTCTCATGCTTCTCTATAACCGCCTTCAGACCCTCCAAGTACCCGATCCCCACGAGCTTCACCTCGAAGCTGGGATCGAATGGCCGACCAAAGGTGATTTCTAGGTACTTGGATAGCTGGATTCCCGTCTGGTCCTCAAACTGCTCAATGCTCAGTGTGTAGAGTCTAGTCTCTTCCTGTGGTAGATTATGCAGATCGCTGCCCAGAGCCGCAATGCCGTCTACTAAAGTATTAATTGATATATAGTTCTTTTTTGGGACTCCAACTCCAGTCACAATGCGCCGAATAATATCCTCGGACAGGATGTTGGAATATGTCGAACGTTTAAGGAATATCACAAATTGGTTTGGTTCGTACCAGCCTTGGATCACATTCATCCGGAACAGAAGATTTTCGATGCCAAATCGACGAAGACCAGCCAGAGCTTCCAGCCACTGGAACCTCTCCTTGGGCCATTTACTACCGTGGAATCTAGACGTTGGCCAGGGGAGATCCTCGCCTGGTGGCATCAGTTCGAGATAGCTGTCCAAAAGCAAAGTTGAATCTGAAATATTGAAATTGAGGCAGGAGTTGAAGTACCGCAATACCTTCCCCTCCACACTGGACTCGTCGATGAAGACGCGATCCTTGAGAGCTTCCAAAACTATCTGCAGTTTGTCATTGGACGCGTAAAATATTGAGTCTCGGAGATCGTTGAGTTTGTCTTTTGTGTGAAGACTCTTAAACTTTCCACTGGAAAAGTTTTGAAAATTCTGGCACGGATTGGCAGTGTCATCCAGGTTTTTATATATGAAATCCAGAGTAGCCTCATCCGGGCTGGGATGCCGTGATCGAGTCAAACCAATTAGCAACAGCAGACACAAAAAGCGAGTGATTCCCTCCATCTTTTCTGAATAACTGAGGAACAAGAGGCGAAATCAGACGTATTTATTCGTGAAGCGAAGTTTTTGAGAATAGTTTGTCAGAGATACTGATAAGAACAAGGGTCATAGATCAGCCCGCCAGTTTTCGGCACAATTTGTAATCATCTTTAAGTGATTTGGATATAGCATTTAATCGTGCATGTTTTAGATTATTCTTTAAATTCATATATTTATATAAATTTTTTTCCTACAAATCAAAGTTTAACAAACTTATAACTAAGTCAAAACTGCATTAATTTTAATTCGGAAAGCTTTTGTATGTTCGTTTTGGTAAGGTTAATAAATGTGCATACTTGATTTAAAATTTAACAAAATTAAAATTTTTGACAATTTTTGAATATTTTAATGATGTAACCCCTTATCTATTTTTGAAATTTTCGAATAAAATTTGAACATTTCATTTTTTGACCTGACATAGCTAGATCGTCGCAGCTGTTAATGCTGATCAAGAATATATATGCTTTATAGGGTTGGAAATGACTTCTTTACAATTTAACAAGCTTCTGATTAAAAGTTTAATACTTTCACGGGTATAAGAAATATATAAAAATTAAGTAAATGTTTTGGGAAAATATTCTGGAATTCCCGCTCACGAGCTCATCACCAGAGCTTTAACATTTTGAATGTTTACTTTTTATGATTCCACTTCTCGCTGGCCTTTTCTTTATTTGCTTGGCGTTGTATGTTTATAGATGAGGAGGGGTAGTTGCTGGGTTAGCTTTGGGTGGTGGGAGGAAAAGGACCTCAAAGGCTATGTGACCCCAACATACCCATTCCCATTCCCACTGCCATTCCCATTTCCATCCAACGCCCTTTTGTGCGCTGGGCAAAGTTAAAAACGGCGCTAATTTTATGACGGCCCAAGTTTGGCACTTGTCAAATGGAAAATTTCATACCCCAAGGGCTTCTTGGAGGGGAGGATGTGGAGGAAGGGAGGAAGGCTAATGCAGGACGAAGGCTCCTTGGCCCGAAACCCACTCGCTTTGGCCCAATGCTTTTTATGCTAATGTGGAGTCGGAGTGTGTGTGTGGCTCAGATCTTTTGAGGTTTCCAGTGGCCTTTAAGCAAACAGGCGTGGGCATCCTTTGGGCCTTCAGTTGGCAGTCGGACTCCACTGACTTGGCCATTCGTTTGTGTGTTAATTACTGCGGCGTGTGCGGCACTCGTGAATCATGACTTCCGACTTGCCACCCAGCCAGTCAGCCTCTCACATCCCGCCGCCATTCCGCTTTCTAATTATGTTGCACTGGAGTTGGTGGCAACAAAACAAGCGGCAAGGCAACAATTCAACCGCAAACGCATTTAGTTCATGTTGCGAACACACACACACAGCCCGAGAATCCTGTAAATAGTTTACCGAAATCATCAGGAGCAGGAGCAAGCCTAGCCAACCAAGGATAGCACAGTGATGGGCGGTATTTTAATGAACATGTAGCTTAATACTACTTTTAAATAAATTCATAAAATATTATTCATTTAAATCTAAACAAAATTAATATTTAAAAATATCTAAACTATAGTTAAGTGATATAGAAAACAGCTTTAATACATTGTCTGATCTAAGAAACAAGACTACACAATCTAATTTATAGAAAGCGAAGAGAGTGAGCCCTTAGGGAGATGTTATGGGAAATCTCTCTCTGTACCTTAACTATATTCTAAAATTAATTTTAAGTTAATGAAAAATCTAGACAATTTAAAAACTTAAAATAACTCATAATAATCATCATAATATCAGTAAGTATATTTTCTCTTAAAAATAGATGTCTGGTGTGTTCATCTAAGCGAATAAAAAGAAACACTCAATATGTTTCATAAAAAAAAACTAAAAAGCTCTTTAACCAAAGGTCTTAGCTACGTTTCGAAAACTTTTTTTCTATTTATATACATATGTATATATATATTTTGTATATTTTTATTTTATGTTGCATTTTTGTATATTTATTTATTTTTTTTTTTTTCGGATTTAACCTTTCTCATCTCTGGTGCTTTTGACTGCAAGTTGGGTGGCTGGATAGAATATTTGGGCGGTGGGTACTTCATGTCACTGCAGTGCACACGGCGACCTCATAATAAAGGCATCCACACCAACATCCTCACCCACATCCACACCCACACCCACACCCACACCCACATTCACATTCACATTTACTGTTTGTGTGCGAAAGGCTCCGCACTTGGAACGGCATTTCTCAGCTGCCGCATGTGGCAAGTGCGGTAGACCGTCAATTTGTGCAAATGCTCTTAGCCACTCTCGTACCTAAGAAGCCAACTTGGAGCAGCGTGAAGCCGGAGCCGGAGCCGGTGACCGGGTTTATTTGCTCAGCCAAATTTGTCTTAATTCATTTGGATTAACGACAAGCTGGAAGAATGGAAAATGGGAGGGATGAATTATTCATTTGTTGCGCAGGCGATCCATCATCATCCCCAGTGAAAATGCACAAGCTTTTAAAATGTTTATTATTATGCTAGTTTTATTTACCATCTCTGTGTTTGCTTTCATTATGCCTTCAGTTTGGTTTCGGGTTGTCGCCTCTGTGTATTTTTGGCAGTTTAAATGCAATTCGATAACAATATGTTTGCTAAATATTAATAAATATATCAAATGCTGCTCATTTCCATGTATTTACTTTGGTAATATTTTACAAATAAATCGAAATTTGTACACGGCTATATGTGAGTGTTGTTGTTTTGGGTATATATCAAATAAATCAAATGAAATGGTCACCGGATAAAATTACATTTTGATTTTTTACTTACGTCTAACGCTTTTTTAATCCTAATGGTTTTCTGATCTATTCAATATTTTAATATTGTAGTCATGTTGCCGCTGGCAAAATTCGCTTGCTGCTGCTGCTGTGTCAATTGAGTTTTTTAATTCGGTTCCGACTATGGGCTGTCTCTGGATTTTATTATCTGATTTGATTCGTAGTCCATTTTGGCAACACACATTTATCTAGTTTGTTCGCATGTTTACATATTTGTAGATATATGTATGTTTATATATATGCATTAATACTATTTGCTTAGACAGTTTACCATTTATATTTATAGGTATTTACTCTTGCACTGGCACATACACATATTTCTCGGTAGTTTCATTTGAGCGTTCGCCTTGTTTACTATTGATATTAAATTTATTTATGCACTTTAGCGGCTTTGTTTGATTTGAGTTTTGATTTTGTCATAGATTAAATAACAAAAATTGAGTTTAAATGCAATTCACCTGCAAACAGTTATTGTTTAGAGTCCACATACCGGGCTTATAAAACATTTACGCACAAGAAATGGGAAACATAAGCTCGGATATATCCAATTTTAAAAAACAAATCCTCTGATCTTATGCATAAACACACATAAATTTCAGCTAACAACAATATTATTTCATAAATATTTTACAATAGTTTTTCGTATTATTTGTATTAAATAATTTACGTTAGTTTTGATAATCTTAGTACCATTTTTAATGTCTTTTGATATGACTTGATCATTTTTTATGGTATTTTTTATATAATTTCTTTCAGTTATTGTTATTATCAACTACTGCTTGACTCGTGTTTTATGTACAATAAAGAACTTGATCCATGCCACTGCAAAGTATACTAAATATGCTAAAAATTTAACTACAATTAGGTTTTTACATTTATTTCTTAGAGTTACATCCTGGTTTTGGCTTGGTTTCAAATTCAATGCGGAAGTTTGCGACTCATGTTGTTGCTTGATTTGCCTTACAATTCAAACATTATATCCTAACCTATCCTAATAGTTAGTAACTACTCAATTTGGGGGGAGGGGCAAAGGTACATAAATGAATTTCTACCTACAAAAATATTTATGTTGAAAAAAAGAGAAACAAAATTCATAAGCTGCGATTACTTGCCACTTCTCGCACAGCTCAGTCAGTTGGAAAAAATTAAATCAAAACAATTTCAATTAAAATAAATTTAATTAAAATTCTGCTTGCTGGCCACTCGAGCCATGTTTCAGTTTTTTTTTTAAATGTTTATTCTGCATTCATGAGTCGAACTATGGGTAAACTATTTTCTTTATTTAGCGCTAATTAATTTATTACAATATTTGCATTGGAGCCTTCGCCTCCATCCCGTCTGGCACTAGTCCGCTTTTTCATTCATTAGCGTTTTTTGCCAGTGTTTTCTGTAATTTAATTATAAACAAATACGCGACAACAAATCCCGCAATGATAATTGAGGGGGGAAAAATACTGGAAATCCCGCTATGAACACTTATCCCATGTTTTGTGTGCGTTTTTATAATTTTATTTTTTTTTGCTTTCACAATTCCCTTCTCTTTTAGCTATTGAGTTGCGACATATTTGTTGCTGTTGTTGTTGTTGTTTATTAAAAATATTAATCAGTCATTTAAATGCAATGAATTGCAGTGTTTATATGCGTGTATGCAGCTCTATGTTTATTTCGTGTTTTTCATGTGTGCTGTCCTTTATGCTCCTTGTTTGTTGTCATTTCCGTGTTTATCCTGGCACCTCACCTCACATCCCACTTACCCTTGGAAATGATCCTCAGCTCAGCTGACTGTTAACAGTAATGCAATAATTTATCCCGTTCAATTTGCATTGCCTTGCTGACAGGCTAACCGAAAAAAAATTTGCCAACTGATTGCACAGCGCAATTGTTTGAATGTGGCCGCATAAATAAAGCTGCATACTTTGTTGCACCACCCTCCTCCAGGGCATTGAGATTTATTGCAAAAGTCTTGTGCCACTTATTGTGTTTTTAATAACCATAAATATAAAGACTTCAATCGCTATAAAGTGTTCCCAGTGCTGTGACTTTTCACTTTTCAGCTGAACAAATCGCATAAATATTTGAATACAACTTTTTTACCTGAAATAATCATTGAATAAATAATAAATAAATAAATGTATAATCAGACTACGTTAAGTAAAAATTTATACAGAATTCAAATAATAATAATAAAGATTAAACAAAATAATATGATTATGGAGTTGGGAAATTAAAAGCAGGACAAAGAATCAGAAAAATATATGGGATAAAATCATGTATTTCTTGTAGATTTTAATTTACAAAGCATTTAAGCTACGAATAACGTTATTCTTAAAATGCCCATAATAAATTTAACAATGAGTTAAAATAAACAAAATAAAACCTAAAAATATTATTTATACATTTTAAACCATATTTATAAAGATAAACACAAGGAAATCCTTTACCCTCTTGCTTCGCCCTTCAAAGTATGCAGCAATTTTTGTTGACGAGTCCCTGACATTTTGTGATGGCTTGTGAGAGTGTCTTATTGGCGACAGTTGTCTGTTTTGGCACTTACAACTAAGAGTCCTTATGGCTAAGCCTCATCTTTGCATACTCCTCCTAACAATTACTTGCCATACGGATGTTGCTGGTTGATGTCCGGCGAGTGCCGCATCAGTGTGGCACTACCGCTCCCCGGCGATAGAGTCAGACTGCCCTCGTGGCTGCCGTTCATGCTGCTCGAGCAGGTGGCCGGCACGGAGGCGGCTCCACCACCCATCATTTTCTCCGTCTCCTGGCGGCTGTTGGCCATTATCCGGCGGATTGTGGGGGCGCAGGGCGTGCGTCATAGGCGCGACTCCTGCGCGTGCTCATGTCAGACCTGCCCGTGGGCATTCATGTGCAGCGCGTCCCCGGCGTCGGGGGGCGTGGCCGAGAGCTGGGCGGGCGGATAGTACTGCAACGAGGCACAATTGAGGTACTGTGCGTGGATTAGAATCAGAATCGGAACCACTGTCCGGATACACATCGAAAGTGCGTTAAAAATAGGACGAACGCGTCGCAATTTCGAATTGTATCCATGTACAGGGACAAAAATCGGGGGGTACAATTTTAGTATATTTTAGTGTAAATGGGAAATATAATTCAGAAATACATAAAGACCTTAAAGGAAAATAGTTTCTAACGATAATAATTTAAATAATTTCAAATAACCTCATTGTAAATCCATTAAAAATGTTTCTAGAAGTGTGTAGATGATGATTTAGTGATCCAACATAGCAACATTAAAGACTATTTTTAAATATTTAATAATAATTTAGGGAAATTCTTGATATTATTAAGTAAATGATTACGATTAATTTAAATTTGAAGATCTTTTTTTAAGGGATTTTTGAAAGGGTTTTCTAATAAAGAAAATGATGTAGAAATCTTGTTCATTCGGTTTCTCCAACAATCAATGTTTCTATTTTAAAAAATCCCAAAATAAATAATTATGATATTTAATATGCTTAATATTTAATATTTTAAGTAACTAAAATATTTTTGGCAGTGCTCAACTCACCCCGACGCGTCCATTGTCGTAGTCGCGACTCGCTTGAATGGTCAATTTCGCCTTGGCGTGCATGGTGTCCGTCAGACCGCTCCTTTGATGTGTGTGCGTCGAGGGAACAGCGCTGGAGGGTCCCAGCATCATGGAGCCATTGGCTTTGCCCAGGCTACCGCTGCCCGCGCCATGGCCCAGCCCCATGCCCATGCCCATGCCACGGCCCATGCCCATCGACATGGACATGCCGGAAGCGCTGGAAGCGGAACGTGAGTCCTTGCTGCGGAAGCAGAACTCCAGGATGGCCACGAACACGCTGACGAGGAGGCCGCCAATCAGGATGTAGAATATGCCGGCCACATTGCTCAGCGAGAGCTCGTTGTGCGCGGAGGCCTCCTTGTGGATGCTGCACTCCGTTTTGTCGTACCACCATTTCTGGTGCAACTTGATCAGTTCGGCGTTCTCCGTCAGCTTCAGCACGGCCAGATTGATGGGGTCCCTTTTGAATGAAAGGGGGAGGAATGTGGAGGGAGAGGATGAAGAGTGGCATTAAAGTGGAGGTTCCATTGTTAAGTATGTGGGTTAGCTTTCATCTGGGTTTGTAGAACCTCCCATTCCAATCCCGCAAAAATGGCATCAATTTCTGGCTCCTTTTCTATTCGGGTTTCTGTGTTCCTTGTTTTACACTCGGAGAAAAGTATCCCTTTTATGGATTATACTTGTTTCTACCATAATAATTACAGAACAAAGTTAAATCCCTTAAAACACATACATATACTTCTCAAATAAATAACAGAAAAATACCCCGTTCGAATTAGAAAACAAAAGTATCTGAAACCTAACCTGATACATTAACAGGATACAGCTTAAGTTCTCTATTATGTCGATTAAGTACCCCTATTTTCTCCTTGTGTACTCACTTGAGCGCCGAACCGAGTGGCGTGGCGATGCCAAATCCTTTTGTATCCAGATTGCGGCCCACTTTCATTGTGTCGCAGGGCTCGCGGGCGTTCACATACTCATTCTTGGGGGACTCCACCAGTAGGGCGTACTTGCCCTTGGAGGTGCGCACGCGTTTGATACCCTCGTCGTAGGTATTCACGAAGACGCTCTTCCTGGCGTTCATATACTCCCACATCTTGTTGTGGAGTCCGATTTGGGAGCGCTGCGGGCACGGTCCAAAAGTGATGGCAAAAAAGGACGAAACGAAATGAAACGAAAGGAAATATAGAGTAAAGCATGGATATATGCGGCAGATACGCGCTGGCATCCCGGGACAGTCGAATGCCGGCGGATAGGGACACCAGTTCGCCCAGGACATCCATCAGCGTAATGCCTGCATCGGGTTCCTAGTCTCTTTCCATTCACTGTATACATATATATATCTACATTCCAAATATATAAAGAAATATCTGCTCACATGGTGAGGCAGCGGAGCGTAAGTCTGCTTAAAAGCATCTCAAATAAATGTAGCCATAAAAAATAGAATTGCGTCTCATTTCTTTTGCATTTTTGGCCCCGAATGGCAGGGAATTTGAAGGGAAATCAAGGGAAATTGGGGGAAATCGGAGGGCTGAAACAGCTAAAAAGGAGGGCGGGATGAGCGGCAAATTGCTTTTTATTTCTCGTCTAACACAAATTAATCCTTGGCCCGGCTGGGGCTCCTCTCAATTTTGACGTCTCAAAAGGCTCAGCTCGCAAATTCTAATGGTTTTCTGCCTCTCGACTGTTGGCTTTTATTGTCTTTGATTTGGCCATTGTGCGGTTGTCAAATGAGTGTGACATGAGCACCCGAAATTAATTTGGCTGCCAGGCAATCGGGATACATAACTCCCGACAAATTCCGGCCAACAAGGAATGTGTGCTTGGTAGTAACAGCAAAGAAATGCTTAAAGTAGCTAGCAAAATGTTTTCTAGTTTTAAATTCATTCATCTTTAAATTAGATTTCAATGTTTAATAGTTTATATTATCCTTTTCCAACTCACTCGAAAGAAGTCCCAGGTGGAGCCGTGCAGTAGTGTTCCATACTGCACCTCCGTTTGCATGGCCAAATCCTCCGGCGAGTTGATCGGTGTCACCATTCGCTCCACTGTGAGAAAAGCGGCCAGGTTGGCCGTGTACGAGGAGATCAGTATCAATGTGAAGAAGAACCACGAGGCGGCTGCAATTCGTCCAGACACTGAACGCGGTGAGATGTCGCATCCTTGCTGCATAAAGGCTGCCAGCGAAAACCAGAACGAATTCCACACACTAAACTCGTTCACCGCCGACGATGAGGAGCCTCCGGATCCCGGATTACCGGCAGCCGATAGAGCGGCCTGCAGTGCGGCAGCTCCGGCTGCAGATTGGGCACCCGGAGTGGGTGGTCCGGGTGGAGCGGGCACGGCCATAGGAGCACCTCCGATGATGCCAGGCGGCTGCTGATTGGCAAGCTGTTCGTGATGTGCATGCGGATCTGAAAGAGCAAGGACGAGCAGAGGATGAAAAGAGGGTCCTGTGAGTTGGCCACAAAGCGAAACCACAGACGGCAAACGCAGTCTGCTAATACAGTGTGAGAAATAGGTGCCTAGATGGGGATTTTGAATTAAGATAATATTGAAAGTTTTTCCCTGGGGGTTGGTAAGTGTTTTAAAGAATTTGTTCTTGTTTGCTAAACTTAAATAATCATTACCTGATCTTGAAACTTAAAATATTTTAAGTACCTTTAATGTTTTTATTTAGGCAAGTTAAGCCTTAAGTAAAATACTTTTTTTCATCACTAATTTCTCTCTGTGTGCCTGTAGAAAAAAGGGTCGGCAGTGAGTTGTCGGTACGTGCCCATGTCGACTGTCCAAGTTTCAATCATTTCGTTTGGCTTGGCTTTTTGCGCCTGCTCTAATTGATATGCAATCAAACCCATAGCCAAGTCTCTGTTCCCCATTTGCTTCAATTGCAAAGCCATTGACTGCCAGTCGGAGAAGTGATGTGATGTGATGACATTGCTGCTCCTATTCCACACGGAGAGCTACTGCTGCTGCTGCTGCTCGTGATGCTGATGTGGATGCTGATTTTGACTCTGTCGAGGACCTGCCATGTCCTTTCGATTTTTGCCCTGCACTCTCTATGCCAGGTTTTATTTTATTTTGCACTCTGCACCTCCCTCTTGGCATACCCTATCTGCTGCTCTATAGCAGCGTCTCTGTTTGTCTATCTCCGTTTTTACACTGTCTGTAAACGCTGCCTGCATACACAATTTTGTTTACTTTCCGCTAAAATTACATTAAGGATGTTTTGCAGGATGTCAATAGATTGTTATGAACAGCCACTCCACAGCGCTCTTACACGCCCTTGCAAACTGTCAGTTCATATGCGATTTTCCCGGTCTGATTGTCATCAGAATTCCGACAATAACAACAGAGATGGTGGAGCAGTAGCAGCAGCGGCAGCGATGGAAAATTGAATTGAAATAATTGAATTTCCATGAAATCAAATGAAATCGAATGCAAAACAAGTCAAAAGTTGAAGCAGATGCATACAATTACGACATTTTTGGGGAATTTCCGCTACAGCCTTTATTTTTTTAGCTAACGCAGGGATTTTTTTAGAAGGACTGCACTGAGGAAAAACTTTGGATACTCTTATGTAAAATCATGTTTGAATAATTTTGCAAAGATAATTATTTTTGGTAATTAAAAAGCAGCATGTCTGAAGTTTTGGAGTGATTAAATCTATTTTTTAGATTCTAATGCATAATATTAATAATGTTAAATGGAGATCGTATTAAATTATTTTTATTAACAAGAAAGAAAACTAGTTTTGGCAAGCTGAAGCTTATATACTCCTACAGGTTGGAATTCAATTGTAGAATGGTATCGGAAATATAGATATTTTTATATGAACATTTTTTTCGACAAAACAAAATTTAAAAACATCCCAGCTAATCCCAAAAATCATCAATTTTAAATCGGAAAGCTTTTCTATGTTAGCTATTATTAGATTAATAAATCTTCATACTAAATAAAGAGTTTTACAAAAATCCATTTTTAAAATTAATTTTTGACAATTTTAACGATGTAACCCCTTATAAAATTGTGGAATTTTGGAACATTTTCGAAAAAAATAATTTTCAATCGGACACGGCAAGATCGATTCAGATTTTAATGCTGATCAATGGTATATATGGTTTATAGGGTCGGAAACGAGTCAATCACTGACTAAAATTATAATATCCTGCGAGGATATGTTTATTTATTCCTTTAATTAAAAAATAATAATATTCCTCTACTTTATCTTGGACAGTAGTGTTAAGTGACTTTTCGCCATTAAAACACCGACGTTACTTTTCCATTATGGATCCCCCATCGGAAGCGTTTAATTTAATACATTATTCAAATATATTCAATATTAAATTGCTAACCAAGACCTCGTGGTTGGGTCATGGCTGGCTCCAGGCAATAACAGGTGAGTGGGGGATACAGGTACGTGCACTTACCTGGCGATTGTGATTGCTGCGGCGACTGTTGCACGAGCCGCCATTCATGTGGTGAGAAGCGCGACACAAAGAACAGCACAATGCTCACACCGATGTAGCTGAAGATGACGCTCACCTGTTGGCAAGTAAAAGAGAGGTGAAAGGAGAAGAGTGAGTAAACATGAGACCTAGCACCTGTGCCACAAGCAGCAGCAGCCACTGTGCTGTGATGCTGCTTTTTTTCATTAATTTTTTCTTAACTAATTGAAGCGGAAGCGGCCGGGGCTTCCTAGAAAATAACGAAACATTAACCTAATGGAGCGAGGGAGCGGAGGAGCGAGGGGCAAGACAATGGCAACCAAGGACATCGACAGGAGCAGCAGCAGCAGCAGCAGCTGTGAGGCTGTCGTCTGGCAACCATTTTCCACTGTTTCTGTTGCACAGGAAAAAATTATAATCTATGAAATGAAGATTCAATTAATTTCACATTAAAATGTTTTTTATCATCACAAAACTAATTTGGACTTAATTTTCAGTAAATTAACATAATTGATGCTTATAATTTTTCCATGTTAATAGTTTTTAAATGAACAGGGCCGCACAGCGTGAATGTTAAGCATCCTGGGGCACAATTTTCAGTCAATGCAACTAGCTATATTTAAAACACTTTCATCAGGACAACTTTAGACTTTTATTGTTAAGGAAATATATATTTAAAATAAGGGTAAGATGAAGATTTTTTTGCAAAGTGTGTGGGTTGGTTGTGTGTTGCTTCGAAGCTGTCAGCACCTGAATGGCTGCTATGAAACGCGTCTTTGTGCTCGCCGGCGTATCTAAAGGAAAGGAAAGGTGTGTCCTTGTCGCCACTGCTTTCATATGCCTCAATGGCTTCCCCACACACTCGCACACACTGGCACACACTCACTGGCTCCCTCCTAAGTAGGATTGTCCTGCTTTGTTGCTGCCTTTCAGCTTGTGTTCAGCGAGTGTGTGGGTGCAGCTAAAATGCTTCATTTAATTTATGATAAATTTTTTGTAAAAGACTTTTTTATTAGCTTGTTAACTTTGCGCCTTGGCTTTTGCCATTGCCTTTGCCCCGATGCCCCCGACTTTCGCTCTGGCCCAACAACCCCTTGGAAGAAGCCCTGACAGCCTGGGAAGAGACTCGACTCACCCGACCCCTGGAAACTAATTTGCATTTGTAATTTTTTAGCTCATGTCAAATTACGCATTAGCTTTCACTTTGGCGCGCTGTTCGCCGACTTTTATTAGCATTTAATTTCGCGTTTGTCGCGCTGTCGTCAACACTCTTTGACTTTCGAGATTCGGATTTCAGAGTCCTGTGCCCCTTTTTTTATGAATTTTTTATTGTGCGTAAATTTAACAGCCAGTGTCGTCATAATTTTGCGCATTTACAGCGCATTAGCCCGGCCCTTTGACTCTGCTTTGGGTCCCATCTAATTTGTTTAATTGTCTACCCAGCTACTCCTACTGCCACTAACTATGTATATAAATAAATCAGGAGGGAAAGGAGGGTTTCACCCGGGTGCAACATAAACATCAACTAAACGCTCATACAAATTTGATGGGTTGCCATTATTTAAACAAGCCTCGAGCGCCAAACTTCGGACGCTGAGACTAGCGTAAAATTTAAAACTTGACGGCCACGTAATTTGGAGAAGGCCGCCGCCGTCGCCGTTTTCCTGGAAAACTCCCATTTCCCGCTCCCAGGCACTCCACTGCTGTTTATGCGAGTAATGTGAAAAAAAGGCAAACAGTGGCAGAAGCACAAAAACTTTGTCGTTTACTCTATTAAACTTTGGGAGCTTACGTGGTGCCAAGTTGAAGCCGAAACCAGAAGAAATAAATATACAAGTCGAAACTTTGCCGCAAACTTTTCCTCGAGAAGCGAGTAAAAAATAAAAATAATAGGAGTAAGAGACGCGGCCCAGAAATATAATAAAAATGGAGTGAAAGAAAAAACAAAACATTGGCGAGCGAGAAATGAAGAAATTGTTTAAAAACTTTACTCATTTGTATGCAGCGCAATTTTAGCAACATTTTGACTCGTTACCAAAGTGAAAATAAACACATTGCGCTCGCTGTGTGTGTTTTAAGTCGCAGTCCGAGACAGTTTGTGACGGGAAATAATTAGAAATTTGGAGGCAATACCAAGTGCCGTCTGTGCAATATCAAAAGTCCCGTCTGCGACTTGATTAAAATGTGCTGGCAGTGGCTCGGGTCCTGGCAAAGGCTGGGTATGTATGGTTGAATATCCTTGGATATTTGCTGCTCTGCTGCATCGCTTCGCTGAGCGCCAATGAAGCAAAGTGCAGGCAGGTGGCCCAAAAGGTAAAGGGGAATCCCCGAGAAGCCCGGGGTTCTAGCCTTATCCTGTTCACCACCCCCCGCTTAATATACACACTCACACAGACACACATATACGCACCCAAATTTCCTGTGATAAAGGATTCATGAAGCTGAACACGCCGGGCGTCTGCTTCACTGGCTTCTTAATCATGATGGAGATGCCCAGCGACATGAACGGCTTGCTGAAGTCGATGACACGTTCGCGTTCAGCGGTAATCGTCATGGCGGCAATCGCAATATCCGCTTCCTGCAGGCGAAGGAGTTTCAGATGGGTTCAGGTGGATAGGAGATGTAAGGACTCACCTTGCGCACCAGCTCCCCCACCATGCCATCCCAGCCGCCGTGGGCTGTTGACTTCTCGGACCCGTAATTGCCATCCTTGACCAATCGCAGTTCATCTGCAATTGATGCACACGGAGAAATTAAATTATAGAAAATGAAGTAAAACATAAAGAAAGAAAATAATGTTTAAGGAAAAGATAATTATAAAGCTTATTAAATTTCAAATTGATTAAATACGCAATCAAAGTGAAAGCTAATATATATTTAAATGCTCCGAATCGGTGACTTCTCCGTCCGATTAACCCAGACTTGGGGGCATCACACATTCACTCACAGTTAATGCCCAGCTCCTTGGCCACCAGGTCGGCGAGGTCCTTGCAGTATCCCTCGAAGCGTTCATTTCCCAGCAGTTTCTCTCCATGCGTGGCCTTCTTGAGCATTATGTAGGGTTCCTCCAGCACAGTGGTCACTACATATGTACGATTTTTTTCAAACTCCACATGAGGACGCAGACGGACATATTTGGCATTTAGGGGCTGCAGTCCAGCGTCGTCATTCCACTCGGCCACCTTGACCTGCGAGGTCAAAGAAAAAGAGAAAAAGCCCCCAAAAGATTACAAATTACTGAGGCGGTCTGGGCAGGCCATAAATAATGCAGCCATCGACACCTTGCTCCCAAGAGGAGAACGAACCAAATCGATATTTGCCTAAGTCTGCATTAGTTGCTATTTCCAAGTCCGGAGAGCTGGGCCAATTTAATTTGCCTCGGCTTAGACTGTTTTTTTACAAGGCCAAAAGTGGTGGAGATGGGTAGGGAGTTAAACTAACCTACTTTTAAAATGGGATAACTCAATGTTTTCTTTGTTGTATAAATGATAATAGTCCCTAGAAGTTCTTAAAGTTAGATAAATTGATTGAACTTGTACAGCAAATTTATGATTATATAAAAGTTTTTAATGAATATTCAACAGAAACTTTATGCTTTAAATGACTGTGGTTTTAGATTAAAATCTAATTTAATGTTGTCTGTTTATATTTCTCAACCTTGAGCTGTTTAATTCATTGAAAATTAAACTATTCTTATCCAAAAAACTACCTGAAAATTGCTTCAAAAAGTGCCAAAAACTTTCATTGTGCTTTAACTTTTTCTCGACTGGCTTAATGCTGTCCGGGCCATTACACAAAACACTAACAGAGCTGGGAACTGGGAATTGAGGGCTGGGAAATTCAGGATACAGGGAACTGGGGAAACTGGTATCCTGGAAAACACATACCATGGCGCTGTTTACTGTCATCTCGACGACGTGCAGCGTGTAATTGACGCGTCTGCCGTCATCGTTGAATTTGATGTCCCCGGTTAGGCCCTCGATTTCCACCTGCGGAGAGGAAGAGCCAAGAGATACCAAGCAGAGGGTTATATAGAGGCTACACAGATACGGATCTAGAGTGGGTGATAAAACAGGAACTTTCTGTGGGTGTGTGTGTGTGCGGGGTGTGCTTAATTGCTTTGTCAGTTTGCCCGGCTGGATGGTTGCCTGCCTGACTGGCTGGCTGTCAGGTGTATCGATGTCGACAGCAATGTCGCTACACTGTGTCCACCTCATCATCATCGCGATACACGCGAAACATGAGTGCTCTCTAAACTCACCTTTCTCAAATAACGCGATATTTTATCGCCATGCTCCCAGGCATTCACCCAACCCTTGGCCGTGTTACAGTCCAGTGCTCGCGATGAACCGCCGGAATCGTTGCCGGCATAGCCACCGCCGCCACCACCACTGCCACCTGGTCCATTTGACCCGCCACCGGTGTAGTTATAACCATCCATGGAGGTCGAGGCAGCCGCCTGGGCCACCATCAGCGTCTGGCTGCGACGCTGGACATTGTTCCGGAACTGGTCGGGCTTCTTGCGCAGGATTTTATTGAAAGCCTCAACCAGGACGAAGACCGCGTCGTACATGAGCGCCGCTTGGGCCTGGAAAACGGAAGGGGTTCTCAGTTTATCTTAAAGTATATTTGTAAATTTAATTTAATATGCTTTATATATTATTTATATAATTTATTTAGCTTTCTGTATTCCCATTATTAATCGGCTAAACTTGAGCCTGCCTATAAATCATAAATAAAAGCATTTAGGATTCTGGATCAGGATCAAAAAACCCCCCATGGAGTCGCCGCTGGTGAGGCGGTTACTTGCTGGCATTTAATGAGTGCATTACACGCTGTTATTCACAATTTTGCCAGCCATTGCCCTCCGGGGCAGGGTTTTTCCTTTTTCCTTTATCCTGCGCTGCGCAGGTGTCGGTGATGAAGAAGGGGGTTAACATCTAAGCTAGCTCTGAGCCCCGTCGGGACTCGATTCCGGGAACGTGTCGCACATTAACCCGCACAAAGGAGCGGCAAAACTTTGATTTAATATTTGACCGCCGGCCAAAACGAGTCCTTAAACTGGCCTACTGCCGCCAGTTGTTGGGCAAACACGAAATGAGCGAAACGGAATGCCACACAAAGACTTTAATGTGAATTTCCCCCTATTCCACATACTCGCACGCAAGTCAAATAAACAAACAAGCGATGGTAAAGAGAGCAGCAACGGTCCAGGATCTAGACCGGAACGGACCGAATAGAACGGACAACGGTCCAAGGACCAAGGACACTGGACATTGGACTAAACTGAACCGAACCGGACAGAGACTGGACTGGCCTGCAGCTGAATTCAACTAACGTTTAAGCGCCACAAAGTGAAATCTTTGTCAACAAGGATAATGCCAAGGAAATACAAATATAAACAGCCAGCAAGCGCAAACTAAACCAAACTTGATGCTGTCGGAGGGCTGCCTTTTAATGCACTTGAAAAAATAGTTAAGATAACGGTTGAAATTTACTTTAAATAGCAGGAAAAGAGCCCAAAAATGTCAGTTGTCCGACTGTAAACTGAGTTTAAACCATCATATATTTTTATATTACACAAACTAATTGAAATATTGGTATTAAAATAAGAGCTTTAAAATTAAATAGCACTTAATATACACTTAATATTTATCAAAGCCAAAGATGCAACTATTTTGCATTAAAATAAATATTTAATAAAGCTAGGAATAATATAAAGGTATTAAAAAAGGATACACATATTTAATTCCTTCTCTCAAATCTATTTATTTATTAAGCTGGCTATCTTTGACACATTTTCTAGAACTAACATCACATTTTTTCCTGGTTAGTGTACCCGTCTGTGTCCCTGCCCCGTTGACAAGGACAACGGAGGAGCAGCAAGCGAAGAGGCAAGGACACATGTGCCTTTGACTGCAAGTTGTGCGATGGCTATCTGTCTCTCCTGTCCCCCTTGCTGCTGTGCTAAAAGTGAAATCTGAAATCCGTCCAGGAATACTATAGTACACTAGATGTACGGATGCGAATACTAGAGTGGATGTGGAATAAGAGCACGAGTATTTGACTACACGCAACACAAACACGGGCACAAGCACAAACACTAGTGCAAACAGAGAGCTGAGCAGCGACAAAGCGCCGCAAACTATGCTACAGAATATGCTGTGTTCAGAGTCCCGTGTCTCGTGTCCTGGCTGGCTCTCTTTCCTCCGGTCAACATTAAATCCCCGCAAATATTTAACTGCCAAACGAGTGGCCCAAGACCAGTGCTCCAACTACTACAACCGATGGCCTCGTTTTGGGGGCCACACACTACTCACCGAAATCGATTCACGGCCAGCGCCCACACTCATCTGGGGGTCCAGTCGCTTCCAGCTGTCGTAGAATTCGCGCACCAGCCGCCGGTTCGTGTCCACGATGCGAAATCCTGTGATGTTAATGGCACCAAATTCGATTATCTCGCTCTCCCAGCGATCGTCCATGACCTGAAACAGCAGTACAATGGAATTGAAATTGGTTGGACATTTGTATTGGGCAGGAACAGTGGCGGAAAATGTGGGTAATGAGCCTGGGACAAGGCTAAAATATATTGAAATTAATTAAAAATTTAATTCAACATAGTTGAGGATATTAAAAGAAGAAAATAATAGACCAAGGATAGTGTTAAAATAAGTAATTATAAAGTATACTCTCATAATTTCAACATAGTTCAATTAAATAGTATTAAGACAAGTTATTATTATTAACTCCCTTAGTTATTAACTGTATGGAATTCACTCCACTGTTTCCTACATAGGAAAAGGAATGGTGACAGATTTGTTTTTCGACTTTTGTGTGGGAATGGTTGGTTTTGGTTACGGCCTGGTTTAGGCCATGATTGAGGGTGGATGCTTCAGAGCGACACTTACCAGACCACTCAGCAAATAGTGATAGGTGCGGCGGCCCAGGCGCAGGTCGCGCACATGCTGGATGAGTATTTGCTTGGCCATCTCCGTGGGGCAGTCCAGGACGATGTGCTTGTTCTCGAAGCGGCCGATCTGCTCCAAAGTGTGCAGGAACTCGATGGCCATGCTCACGTTCGAGATGCGCTTGACCAGCTCCACTTGGAAGGACTCGTTGCCGGGCTTCAGGCCCTGGTATATTTGCTGTAGGCGCAGCAGACCTGTGGGTAAGGGGGATGCAAAGAGTGTGATCCTGTTAATTAACTGAGTTTACACAGAAAGGGTTTGGTGGTCCACATACGTAAGTGCGTACATATGTATGCTGCGTAGGAATGCATTAGCAGGGCCACACAAATTACGGCCATCAACAGTTTTGCGAGTCGTTAGCCACTGAAAAGGAATAAGCCCCAGGCCCTTGGGCCGCCCCAATCCCAATCCCTTATCAACAAGACGAGCATTTGCAACTGCGTACGGGAAACCCGGGTAAAAGGGTGGTCTAATGCCTGTAAGGTCAATCGGGGTGCGAGTCAAGGGGTTATGGCCTCATCCACCCGACCAAATATCGAATTCACGCTTAAATCTGCTTATGCACACAGCTCGGCCGAAAGGAATTGAATGATGATTCGGAAGTAAGAGTTATATAATCTCATCATTAGACTGAAAACACTGCTATTCACCTGATGAAATCAGTGGTGTTTATCTGGATTTTCCAGAGAATTTTCCCAACACTTTGATAAGAGTCTTACGACTGCCGTGAGGTAATTTCTATGAGCTTTTCAAATGTTAAAACCCACCCACACACTTGTTGTTTTTGTCCAAAAATATGAATGGCAAAAGAAAGACCCATGCAAAGCCTTGAAAAAAAGTGTACGCAGAATATGGTTTCTGTTTATTTAATATATTTTAAATATAGAAAGGACTAAAACGTACTTGGAAGGATATTGAATGTTGAATTATTTAATTTAAACTTTGGGGGGATGGAAGAGTCTTACATTTTCGAAAAAATTTAATATCAAATACGATTTAAGACACCTTTAACTTTAAATTTTCTGTATTTATCATTTTTTCTGTTTAAATTTTAAATCTTTTAGAACACGGCCTTTAGAATTTTCCAGCCTTCTTTGTCGCCTGTGCCTTGACATTTGCTTTGTCTGAAAATAGGCCATATACTGCCACCCGATTTCCACCCATTTCCCCGTACAAACAAAAGCCAAAGGAGCAAAATCAGTTTCAATTTGAAATTTACCGAAAACGGATACAAGGATGCGTACATCATGCCACTGCGTATCTAGCATATACTCCCAAGTGGGTGGCGATAGGGCTCTAGTATTTAGGCCAACTGCCGCATGTGTTGGCCAAACCAGTCAGTGTCCCGAGGCAAGGCCAAGTTTTGGACCACTTGGAAGGACCGTCGTTATCCTTTTCGGAGTGAGTATGGAATTATCATGGGCCTGCTGCGTTCCGAGAATTCTCTGCCAGCGCAATTTGCATTTGTGCTTATTGAGTTATGGCTGCAACTAACTGCTTTCATTCGCACTTAAACAGAGCTCAGGGCCCCTGGCTTTCTCGGCCTGTCTTTCACGTTATTTATTTTTTTTTTTTGTTGTTACAGCTTCCTTTCGCATCCTACGTCCCGAAGGACTCGCCTCAACTTTACGAGTCAAAACTCAACGATTCAATGCGCCCCGGACAGGGGAATACGTACAAACAGAGACCCCAGGAGACAGACGGACAGATGATTTGTATTACAGCTACGCAGCAAACAAAGAAAAGCGAAGGAAAAATGAAGGAGCTGTGGAAAGCCGATACTGAGAGAAAAATGTTCTACTTAAAATAAAAGAGGAATTTAAGGTTTTTTTTTTTTTAGGTATAAGGGAATTATATTGAACTAGACAAGTTGAAATATTAAATATTGATATGAATATTCAGAACAATATTATTTGGAGCTTTAAGAGTCTATAAATTTTGATTTATTTATTCATAGTTTTTAATGTATTTTAGGGTACCAGTCTCCGAGCTTTTTTCTTTAAGTGCTGGGGATAACCAAAGGGAAATCCAGCAAGGATGGCTGGAAAAATCTCAACTGGCTCTCGGTGGATGTCGCATGAGACATGGCGGTGCAACTTCAATGCGCCTTCAATTTATGTTTGCGGATAAAATGGGATTTGCTTTTTGCTTCTGGCTTCTGCTGGATTTTGATTTAGACATTGTTGTTGCTATACCACTTCCAGTGGCCATTGCCACGCCCCCCAGCTACGCACGGGCGGAGAAGCGTACTCAATACATTTCCAATTTGTTGTTGCTTTGATTTGCACTATGCCGGAGACTATATAGATATATGTTTTGCAGGGTATTTGGAGGTATATTATATTAATATTAGTCTTAAAGTGTTAGAGTGTCTAGGGTGTTAAACTTATAACAAAATCATTAAAATAATACATTTTCCTAATATTTATTTAAAGTAAGTAAATTCATTCTGATTAAGTTTAAATAAATCAAAGGTCAAAGGTCAATAAATCAAAGGTAAATCAAGGTCTTATTTTGACTGTATTCCTTTTAAACATTTTAGAAATCTATTGTGAAGAAGTGTTAAGTTGTGTTTACAGTGAATTTTCTTTGATACATATACTTTAAATAAAGGCAAGTGATGAAAGCATACATTAAATAAATAATAAATAATATAAAGAAGTAAAATCCTGAATGACTTTTCGTCCTTTCAGACTAAAGACTAAATTATTGATTGGAGCTCTCTTTGAATCGAGCCAAAGTCAAATACTTTGAAGTCTCTGTAATCCCGCAGCTGTGTGAATTAGAATCTTTATTTCTCTTTTTTGGGTATCAATTGTCCCAAATAATACAAGGACGCCTTTTCGCAGGACTCTGGGTGTGTTAGTGTGTGCGTGTGTCCGTGTGGACGAGTGAGCGGCCATTTTTTGTGCGCTCTGCTCGTTGTGCAATAAATTTTCTGCCTTGCCTTTTATACAATTTCATTTGCTGGCACTTCCTCTGGCACTCCCCTCTCTATTTCAGCTTCCATTCGCTTGGATTGTGTTTGGATTTGATTTTTTGGGATTTTTTTCGATTTGCGATTTGCTGCTCGGATTTGGGGTGTGTGTGTGTGTGCGAGTGTGCGTGTGTGAATCGGAAAATCGAAAGTGTAATTGAAGAGCATGCTGTTGCGGCCGAGGATTTTGTTTTATTTCATTTTTGATATCAAAACATTTTTGCGGCTCACCCCACATGAACCCGCAGCCCCCGCCGTCCTCCCTTGCCATCTTTATGGCTTGAAATTGGCAGAATCCGAATGGGAATCCCCCTCGTATCTCTCTGTCTCTTTGGGTTTTGAGCATTTCCGCTGATTTTTATTGTTTCATTTCGAGCTGCGGCTGGGTCTCTTTCATTTTCGTTTATGTAACGAATTTAATTCACAATTATATTTATTTTTTCCTTTCCCTTGTCCTTGTTTTCCCACTGAAATTTAATTTGATTTAAGTTCGAAACTTGAAATAGCAAAGCAAATTGGAATTGAATGGGAAAAGATTGCAGTCACTCAATATGGACAATATCACGAAAGTTCTTCGGTTCTCCTGGACAAATGTAAATGTGTCACAGGCCACAAAACACGGCATTGCCACACATAGATTTAGCCCAGAACTTTCACTTTAGATGCGAAAAGTAAACAAGACAATTTGTTATGTTAAACAAAAGTTAGTTTTGCGGAAATGAAGTTTTCCTGCCTTCGGTAGCGACACCAGATCACAAACACCAGCATATGCATAAATAGATGCAAAGATACACAGATACGAAGGCACTGAGACAAAAGCAATGAAGGTGTCGCCAAAATACTTAATAGAAACTATGTATTAATTCAAACCTTGTGGCTTAAAAACTAGTATTAAATGTAAATATTTCTTTAAGGTTACTTTCTCTCTTTAAATGAAGTATTTTCTCTCACTGCACTGGAATAAAGGGATAAGGATAAGGATACGGATACGGTTTGTGGACATACGACATCAGGCATCATGGCCAGCAAGTAAGACATTTCCTAACATATTTTATGGAGAAAGTTGACGTGGCCGAGCGGTGTTTGAATAGCAGATAAACAAATGTAATTATTATGAAGAAACTTTCTCTAAAGGAGATCCCTGAAATGAGGGGAAATGCCTGTCCTGTTGCTGCGGTTGCTTTTCATTTCCCGATTCGAATGGAAATCCAAAAAATATTCCATAATTTATGCAGTCTTGGCTTGGCTTACACTACCCTGTGTAATTAGGATACAGAAGAGTCGTCTTCGAGGGGCACGCCCCAATTTAGCAGCTTGTTATGGTTTTTTGCCTGCTCGTCCTGTTTGCTGCCTGTTGTGCTATTAAAAACTTTGCCGCTTTAATTACTTACAAACTGCGTCGACGTCCTCGCTCGGTTACTGGCAACTCGGAAAATTATGCTGACAAGCTCAAAGGCTTTGCGCATATGTTTTCAATGGCCTCGACTGCGGGTCCGGGGTGACGGGCATTAAAAGTATCAAATAACATGAAAGTGAAAGCGCAGTAAACCCCATAATGGTTAAATTAATGGCAGCCAGCCGGAACATCATCGGAGGAGGTGAGGTAACGGGAGCAGGCCAAGGACTTGGTCGGTGTCTTAACGCAATTTGCGCTGCCATTTGACGCAGTTTATGCAAATTCTTCTGTGATTTAAATTATGTAACATTCCGCTCCATTCCTTCCTATGGCGGCAACAATCAACGCTCGCTTATTATTCATGATGCTCACTCTATCCCAGATTCGTTTCAGATTTTTATGCCCACACAAAGCACTCATATCGATACATATTTGATTGTCTCGATTTAGGATGGGTTTCGGGTCGAAGACAATCAAGTCTTTCATCTATAAGCAGAAAACCATCTGCATAATTCTGCAGTTAGGGAACTGGGGTCGCATTGATTAGCCGGCGGTGGGTTTTATCTTTAATGCCAAATAACTGAGCCTATGCCTTCTGAGTCTTTAATAAACGATTCTCTCTGTGTATGTATGTAGGGACCAAGGACTGCTGGTATTTTCGGTCACTCGAGTGAACTGCTGACGTATTCATTGCAGCATGAGCAAGCAGATTTTCACACGTTCTTAAAGGACCTCACGCATCTCACGTAGCCCAACAGCTGCCGATGTATCTGTGTATCTGAGTATCTGTCTCCTCGTATCTGTGTCTCCGCCATGGAATGTTTATTCCTTTTTTCTCACTCTGGACCCCCTATAATAAATTTCATTTCACGGCAAGTCAATGTGCTGTTAACACGGCAATGGGCAGGGCCGCTCCTTTTTCTTTATTCTTCAGATTTCTTCTTCATTTTCGGCAGCTGCCAGGAGGACACACATGGTTCACATATATATCTGTGTATATATATGTGAATATCTGTACATACGTTTAAGTAAGACATTTACTTTCATTGCAGACTGTTGATTGTAGGCCAAAAAAATATCGATGGCAACCAAGGAAAATTCTTGGGGTTATGGTAAACGGGTTTACTATTTAGGAAAATCATCTTGAATTACACTGAACCCACGCATGAGAGGATACATAGACAATTTTGAAGGTATACATTATACATAAAAACATTGAATTAAACCAAAATGATTTTGTAGACTTTGTAATCAGCGTTTTCCATGAAAAAATATTATCTACAGAAATTATTCTGTTTGTTTTATGGGCAATGTTTGGCTTACTTGATTGACAAATCATTGAAAAATGTACAAATTTTGTTTGTATTTATGTTTGTTATTTATTTTAAGGTATATATTTATTCTTACACCCAAGTTTCTAAAAAATCTAGCTGTAATTCGGCCAAATTCGTATCGCCACCTGTCACTTTTGCATGTACATGTCATTTGTTCCCGTGTCTCGTACGTGCAAATACTTTGCAATTCATTGGCATTGGTTGTCTGAGGGAAATTTGCTTATACGGCTCATTTGACAAGGCTGCCATCGAAATGGGAGTCGTAGTCACTCTCCACAGCCGATGACTGGAAGTGGGACAGATGCTCAAAGCAGTTAGCAAGTCAAGCTGCTGGCCGACATATGAAAAAGTGTCATGAAGTTATTTCAACGCGGTTTGTTTCACTTTGCTAAGCTGCTTTTGTAATTTCAATTTTAGGAACTGTTGGGGAATATATAATCACTTTATACAATTTATTTCTAAAGAAGTGATCAGTATTACATCCTTCCAAAGTCAAAGCTAAGACTTATGTACCTCTAAGTCTATACCACACATATTTTTCAATAAACCTCTCAAGTCACACTGGAGAAACTAAAACTTTCCAGATTCTATCTATCAATAAGGTGTGGTAAGTTCTAGCCTTTAAAGGTTTTAGTACCAATATCCCATATAGTTTTGGCAATTCCCAAAAACTTTAGCATCAAGATCTTAAGCTTGAATTTTTACTTTGATGAACTGTGGATGGCCTCGCCGGCTTTTCTCTCTCTCTCTCTCGTCTGGAAAATCCAATAGCCGCCGGCGGCACAAGTGTTTTTTAGTGAACAATCTCGCACACTCGCTAAACACACACGCATACCACACACTCGTAGTAGAGTGTGTAAATATAATATAATGTAGCATTGCCGGGGGGCTGGCACGTAGCGAAATTCTCGTTCTCGGGCAAATACAATAATTTCACGGCTAAAGGGAAAATGTGTGTAAGCCAATTTTCTTGGCCAAGTCGTAAATAGAAGCGGGAATAAACTTATAAGCCGCTGGCCCACTCCGCATGAATTAGATTCCCAGGATCTGCAAGGATATGGGGAATGGGAGGAGTCCATAACGAAATATTGCTTGTTGTTTTTGTTATTTCTGTTGTGATTGTTCTACACGCCACTCGAAAAATCGTATCTGAAGCCGGCCATTGCCCATAAATAGTTCGTTTTTTTTCATCTTTTTTCCAGGGCTCTCTGTGTATTTTTTCTGTTTCGTTTTCTTGGCCAAAATGTTTTTCCTATTTCTTTGTAATAAACTCGTTGGCGCGTCGAATAAACAAAAGAGGAAGCCATTCCACGACAAAACAGTTGCCGAGTCCCAGTCCTTGCCAAAAACAAAGGACGTTAACTGGCAAAGGAAAAGGCGAAGGCGTGGGCGCTACGTGCCAGAAGTTGGCTTGTAAACATGGCCATAAACCAAGGCCCAGGCGAAAGTGGGCTTTTTTTGGGGAGCAAAATGAAAAACTGCCTGGCAATTTTGAGAAAGCAAATTCACTGGCCATATCTATTAATTGGCAATATCTGGCAATGACTCTCGCCATATTTGGCAAATCAAAATTGATTTGCGTGTGGCCATTAAGCTGCTAACAAGAGGCCACAGACTTATTAGTTTTGCCTTAAAATGATTGAGTATTCTATGGCTTAAAATACAACCCCTGCCCCCGGGATATATCTCATATTTAAGGAGAGTGGCTCAAGGGGGATTAAGCACAAACACACACACGAGAGGGGTTCATGAACTCCTCAACCTGCCTCGCATTGATTGAGTGCTGTTGGCCACCGCAAAGAGATTTTCACGTGGCATTCATTAATAATAATAATGCAGGACCAGACACTAGACTTTGTTCGTCCATCCATCTGTCTGTCTTCCTATCAGTCTTTCAGTCCATCATTCTCTCCGTCATTCCCTCCATTTTTCCTTCAGTCCGTTGGTGGCCACATAAACCAATTGTCCCACTGCCAATGGCATAAAATGTCAACGCGCCAAAGGGGAAAAGCGTAGAAAACTCACTGCAGACGGCTGTGTCATTAAACTTTATTTATGCAGTGTGGGGATAAATGGAAAATGCTTGCAGAAACTTATAACAAAGCAAATTTACACTGCAGTGAAAAGGGGGGATCACACATACACTTGGGGAAAATTATTTAATTTAGAAGAGTTTGATTGGTAATTAAATTTACGAATTTTAAAGATTGAGATCATTCTTTAAAAGTTCGAAAAATGCAAGAAATCTTAAAACTTTCATTGCTCATATATATTAAAAGTATTTAAGTGTTTTATGTTTCAATATATATTGTTCCCTTTAAAGTGAAATGTTTCCTTTAATTAAATATGAGTTAAATTTCTTAAAGCTTTAGTAATTAAAAAGTTAAGATAAAAAGAAGCTAGAAATTAATTTAAAAAAGGTTTGCATTGAAAATCACGGAGATGGAAGGGATAGGTTTACTCGAAACATATATTAATTGACCCTATTTTATTGTAAGTACTTCAATAATATTCTATCTAATGGTCAATTTCCAAAATTCTGTATCCTTTTCCCTCCAGTGTACACATAATATTGAGTTGCTTTCACAATAGTTTGCATAGATGAGGTTGCGAGAAGCGAAAGCGAAGCGGAAAAATGCTTATTGACTCTGCGCTCCTTTCGATTCCGCTTCAACGCTGCCTCTCCCACAGGATGCCAAGAGTCCTTGGCCAGGCTGAGCCCAGGCCACGTTCATATATATATTAGTATGCATGCTGGTCGTAGTACTCACCATCGTGGGAATCGTAGAGATAAATTATTTTGCGCCAGCCATAAAATTGTATTGTATCAATGATGGCCTGATGATAATCCGGGCGCATGCTGAGGGCAAAGTCGAGGAAGCCCGACGATGGCGTAAGCACCTAAAACGCGAAAATTATGGAAAGCAGCCGGCATCGAGGAGAAAGAGAGAGCAAGGACATGGCGAGTTAGTAAACATGAATCATTATTGAGTGCTCATTGTTGTTGGACCCTGTTTTTGGGGCTCGTTTCGGGCATTTGCCTGGCTGATTTATAGGCGGCCCGGTCTAAACGAGGCCAAAAGTGTGTTATAAATTTTTAAAGCGCACGCACACAGCGGTCGGGGCAGGACATCATTAGGAACAAGTGGCCTACGGTCTATGGTCCCAGCTCACTAGTATTTATAATGATTTGTACCTGGGCGGCTCATAAATATTCGCCACACTCACAAACCAGCGGCAGCTGTGTGTGTGCCTTGCTTTTTTTTTGTTTCTACTTTGCTTTTTGTTGAGGGGGCGGTGGTGTTGGTGTGCTTTTCAAGGTTAGCAATTTATTTTGAGAGCCAACAGTGCGTATGATTAATATTTCATATTTAAATAGGCAAACGACCTTGGCACTCGGTTTCGCTTTAATATTTATTAATGTCTTAATGCGCTCACCTTTTCGGGAAACCAGGGTGTCACGAAGGGCATCTGGAAGGTGTTCGAATACGAGTGCAGGGTATCAAAGGAGTCGGGCGAAACGGCACCCAGCATCGAGTATACGCCACGTGAGAATTGATTGCAAACTGCGGGGGAAGAGAATTGGGGAAAATATTTAGTTAAGTGAAATTATTCAATATTAACATTTTATGAAAGATATCCTTAATTAAACTATCAAATCAAGGAACAATTGTATAACATTTTTCTTCGTTTGCTATAAAATTAATATTCAAGTGAAAAGATAACAGAATACAAAATGAAAGACTGGCAAAAAATGCAAATAATTAATAGATTTTCCTGCGTAACGAGGTATTCTGTATTGTTTCGTTTTGCATTTTAATGGAAGCCAAGTGCATCTCTGAATGAATTGATTCTGGGAATGAATGAATTCAAAATCAAGAGCCCGGATAATTATCGCTTATAAGCCAAGGAATATTTTTTTAATAAATTTATATTCAACTGATTCATAATACTCACTCAATCGGGAGAGCTTGAAGGCATCCGCCGTATTGATCACATCCACATAGGCCTGCAGTTCGAACCGCCGGGAGGAGACGTTCAGGTTGTGGTTGAGCATCGCATACTTAAAGGCCGACTGCACCTCGTCGGTTCCTTGCTCGAAGATGGCACCTGTTCCGGATGCGGTTCAAGTTTCAGGTCGATACGGGTTCAGGTTCAGATCCAGGCCAGGTCCAGGCAATATGCAAAGATGTGTAAAATTGTTATTAGTGTGCTTTTGGCTGGGGGAAAAGTTTCGGTTCTCGTTTCTCGCTTTTTTGGGGAAAACTGCTACTGCTGCTGCTTTTCCATCGAAATTGTCAATTAAGTTCAAAGCAAAGGCACTTTAAACTTTGTAATTGCTTTTGCGCTCGAATTTTTATTTGTGTTGTTGCTCTTGTAATTTTTCCTTCTCTTTATTTTCTTGTATTTTTTTGAAGGGGAACTTTGTATTTGTTGCTCTTGTTGTTGCTGTGGTGGGCAATTCGAGCCAATTTTTAAGTGGCGTTTGCTGCAAGCTAATAAGCGTGGCGTTTCAGTTTTCAAAGTGGCCAACGAAAAATTGAGGAATAAAAAAAAATTGGAAAGAAACTGACTCGTGGCAACTTCATTTGTCCGACGCTTTGGAAATTGTGTGAATTTTCTTTTCTTATTAAGACCCAAAGAAGCCACATGGCAAGAGCAAATGTTTACAGAGAACAGAATAAATTCAGGAAAAGGGTTTGCTGAAGCAGCCCATGAACTCAAAGAGAAATTGAAAAAGAAAATATTTAAGAGTTCATTTTGATCAATTTTCTCAGTTACCTTTCATTTATACAACATTTTTATTCGTTTTCGTTATTAATATAAGTAATTTAGCAAACTTTACAAAGTATTAAAGTCTTAGGACTCAGGAAAGTTTAGTATTATACAAAGAAATAATTTTTCTTGAATGCTTGCTTTAGCACTGCTGGAAAAATGGTGGGGAAAATAGTGAAAATTGAGGGAAATTCGGGGGCGTTTGTAGCCTCTTTGCAGCTGGGGCAGCTTGTGCAGCTGAGCGGTTATAAAATAAAACTAAGTGCCAGGACAAAGGCGGCATGGGGAAAATGGAGCAAGGAGCAGCTCGAGTTCCTGTCAGATGCATTGGGCTTACGGTTACGGTTACTCACCTAATGGGATTTTCTCGGTTAATGATGGCTGCGCGCTGACTCCTCGTCCTCCTCCTGCTGCTCCCCCGCCGCCATCGCTGCTCCATGTTAGCCATAATAAAAAGCTTGGCCAAAGGCAGCTCAACTTTAAGCCATAGCGCATTTTGCAGCCCGTTGATATTGCTGCTGCTGCTGCTGCCGCTGTAGCTGCCGCTGCCTTGTTGTTATTGTTATATCCTTGCTATTCCTGCGGAACAGGACTCCCCTTGCTGCCGCTACTAATTCCGCAATTCCGCTTATTTCGTGCACTGTCTGTAGTCCTTGCTTGTCGTCGCTGGCATTGCGAGCATTTCGCTGCACTTAGCGCAGCATTTGCATAATTTGTCCTGCCTGCATATATATATTTTTGGGTTAGAAGTGGAAGTAAGAATAATGCAAAATGTATATTGTATATATCTGTAGATTTTCGGGGAGATTTCTTGTTCGGGGTCATCATGCAAATGGCGTCCGTGTAAGTCGCTTTAATTTTCGGCTTTGTGTGCTTAATTAAACGCTTCCTGCTTATTGGGGCGAATTAGTGAGTGTAGTATATCCATACATATATTTTTTTAAGCCCGCCCTTTCAGGCCACCCCCCTAAAGGCGCCTTTGGCACCGGCACGCGTTGGCCTGCACGTGTCTCTGGCACCTGGCTAACTGGTAAATGCACTGCAAAAAAAACTATGATACAGTTTGGTCTAGTAAATGGGTTAAAGGAGAGAAGATTGCTTAATATATATTAAATTTTTAAGATTGTTACTATTAAAAGAGTTTAAACTGAGACACATTATGATGGAATATTAAATGCAAAATAATTAATAAAGTTTTAAAGATAGAAAAATCTTTGAATTACAAATAAATGGCTCCTTTTTAAAACCCTTACCACATTTACCATAAGATGGTTATTTATTTAGTTAATTGACGTAAACGTCTACGTATTGTATATCCTGAAAAATGGCTATAATTTAGTATTATAAATACAAAATTCGCCAGTTTGAAGACATTTAAATTACATTTTATTCTCTCAAACGAAACGTAAATGAATTAGTACAATAATATCTTTTTTCGACAGTTTGAAACCAATTAATTTGAAAACTGCTTTTATTTATTTGTAATGCATATAAATAAACTAAATTTAGCTGTATTTTACATTCAAGAGGTTTGATTGCATTCTAGTTATATTATAAAACAAATAAATATAGTTTTTTTAAATTATTTTTATTCTTGAAGTGGCAAAATGAGTATAATAATGTCTTATTTCAACAGTTTGAAACCAATTAATTTGAAAACGGCTTTTATTTATTTGTAATGCATATAAATAAATTAAACTAAGCTGTATTTTACATTCAAGAGGTTTGATTGCATAATAAAACAAATAAATATAGTTTTTTTGAAATAATTTTTAATCTTGAAGTGGCAAAATTCAATACTTCCTTGAGGGTAAAATAATTACAAGTTTAAATTAAGCTAAAAGACATGTATTTTTAACAGAATTCCTATTGAAAAATTGCTCATAAATATGCTTTTTCGTTATTTAAAATCCCATGTAGCTATGCCTCAAACAAGAACCAATTTCTCGTAACGAATGTGAAACCAAATTGATGACAAATTTTTGGGGCCATATTTTTTGTCGCTCTGTAGCAACAGGTAAACAGGTAAAACACGGGCAAAAGATAACTGGCAACTGGCACCTGGCACAATGGCGGCCGACTTGGCAACTGTCGCGTTCCATTCACTTTCCGCTGAGACTCGCATTTGTGTGTGTGTGCGGGCGGAGGAGGATGGGAGGATATGTGTGCCCAGTGAACTGTATGCAAATATGTACACCTGGTCTATATGCAGGTGTGTGGCGAGCTTCAGTGTGTGTGTGTTTGTGTGCGCGTATGTGGGTGTGAGTGCGAGTGTAACTGCCTCTTGTGCCGTGGTGTTGTTTTTGCGCGTTGTCAGTGTGTCACTGTGCCAGCAGCTTGTGCTGTTATTGTTGTTTCTGCATGCGTATGTCCCTGTGCCCCGCCCCCTTATACACCTTTACCTGCCAGTTGCCTCCTACCGCCACCCCTCCACCCCTGCGGCAGTCGCATATCCCCCAGTCGTTATCCTTTCGGTTCGCTGAATGTTTTTGTGCTGATTTTGCGCTTATTTTAAATGTCTTTTGTGCTGCTCCTCCCTTTGCAGCTGCTTTATTTTTGTTTACGTTTTTGTTTTATGCCTTTTTATTGTTAATTATTTAAAATTGCACAGAGCTCAGGCTGACTGAGTGACTCGACTCGCACACACACACATCCCCTTTGGCCGGTTTTTGTACCGTTTTCCCACGATGTTTTTCCGCCATTTTCCCTTCCAACTCGCTCGCTTATTGGAATTTTATTTTTGGGGATCGCCGCCGTTTTATTTGGTCGTCCACGACGTTGGAATTTCGATGTTTTACGTTTGCATTCCCCGTGGGCTTTAAGAATGGTTTAATTTTTGAAATTGTTTTTAAATCGGCTTATTTGAGGTATGCCGCACACACACACACATATCCTTATACACACAGCTGGTTATTTGTATGAGTTTCGTGGTTCTCGTTAATTCAGGAAAATTTTTGCGGTTGGTATTCAGTTCCAGGAAATCGATATTAATATTTCCCGTAGATAAATATTGATAACTTTGAATTCATGGGCTGGTTTGCTTGTATTTTTGTGTGGAAATTGGATAACTATTTACCTATTCCTGATTTTGTAAATGCATTTTTATATTTGATGCTTTTGCAGGAAAAAATAAGGAAACATAAAATTTGCAGCTCTGAATATATTTCAATAACCTGATGGTGCAATTTATAGGATTTTTGTTTATAATTAGACATTGCTTTTATTGGTAAATTATAAAGTTACAAAGTTACTCAACTTTATTGGATATTTCCCAAGCTAAATAACAATTCTCTCAACCATTGACCTACTCTAGGCAACTAAATCTGAGGGTAATGGCGACTGTAAATCCATCCCCCGAGTTCCAAAGTCCCTCCTTTGAAGTTTGTTTTCCTGCTTAACCACTCTTTAATCATATCAGTTACAGTAACTAATCCCTGGGGCCGAACAACCCAGAAATAGGGGGGAGAGAACCCTTTCCTGGCGACTGAGCTCGGCCCATTCATTCATTAGGCAAACATTGACCGAGGCAATCTACATAAAACCACTTGAGTGAAAAGTTGCAGTCTGCTCCATAAAAACCAGAGCTCAGGACACAGGACACAGGAGAGTCCAAAGGAGGAACCGGGAATCGAGAGCCTGGAGAGCCTGGGGAGCTCCGGGAAAGGGGCTTACTCATCATCAGGCTCAGCATCAGCATCGGCGCGAACGGGATTATTTAGCGCATTTAGAAAATAGGTTAACAGACGCTTAATATTCATATAGCCGTGGCCCTTGGAGGAGCACTCGGAACTTTATTCGTTATAACGGCGATGGCGAAACTAACGCCCAAGTCCAGGATACCGAGGCCAGCTTCCATTAAACGAATGATCCCACTTAATTAAATTTAAATTAGGAGCCTAAAGTTGAACGTCACGGACGTTTAAGTGCCTCCTGCCCGGGTTGAGAGAAGGTTGAGACTTGGCTTATTTACAGTGGGCCGTGGCCGAAACAAAAAACCCCTGGCCGGGTGGCACAGGCAGCTCCAGATAAGTGAAACGAATGAATGGGCATTGCTGCTGCATTGCTGTCCTGCGGAAGCACTTTCGTTAATTAAATAATTATTTGTAGCCACTCGCTGATTACTTTTTGCTCCACTCTCGCCTCCATTCATTCGCAACTTAACACGCTGCTAAAGAAACTGACTGGAGTCCCAGTCAGGATCCGAGTCCGGGACTGACCTTTGCGAGTTTCGCCAGTAATTCACCAGCCAGCTGCTGGCTGATAGGCATCGTTGAGAAGTCGACCACCAAACAAAATTTGCCTTTCAAAAGAACAATGTTCTCTCATTTTTTCGGCTCCTTTCTCGACGGGCACGTGCGACCCTGACGGGAAGAACAAAAAGCTATGCCAGGTATTTAGCGAATCCGGCGAGATAAAAATGTAACAGGAAAATTATTAGGCCGCAGATAAAATCCATAATATAAGGCACCTCATTTGCATTTCAATGAGGTGATTAGTATGCCAATGTCATGCCGGCACAAGGCAACAAAAATATAAAACAAGAATGTATAGTATATATTCATGTTTATTTTGTCAATAATTGAAAGGTATTTCAGGTGGCTGCTGTTTAATTTTTGATTTGCTGGTAAAATTATGCATATTAGAAACACTTGAACATCTAACCATCTTTTTATATTTTTAAAGATATCTATCTATATATTTATATACATTATATCGTTTTCAAGGTTTGTTAAGAAAGCTTTATATAGCTAAGACTTACATAAATCTATCTTTATCAATTATAACAAATAACAATATATAAATATTTTATAGAAAGTTATAATATTGTACTCTTCAATCTTTTAATATTTTATAATAGTACAGTAACTTGACTTCTAGTCAAGTTCTTTATAAATTTATATGATCCTTTAAACGTCCTTTGAACATTCCCTACTCCTTATAATAAATATATATATGTCTAATACAAGTTTTTGTTTGATTTTTAATAAACTGACAAATATTATTTACATACAACAAGCTATCCCTGCAAACTGTTTGCCTTCTTTGTAATTGTTTTGATAAGGTTTCCATAAATATACCCCATCCACCTTACAAATAATTAGCTTAAGTCTCAATGAGATTTGCAGAACTCGTGGCAATCAAAGACAAGTGGCCCCGATAATTGATAATTTATTTTTTTGTGCCTTCGAATTCTGAATCTGACAATTTCCCATGCCAACCGGAGCACCAAAGTCACAAATAATGAGCACAAATTCCGCTGTTTATATTAATGCTCGTCAATACCCGAAAGTCGGGGCCACTCAGGGAGTCACTAAGTCATTCCCTCAGTCAGTCACTCTGTCAGTGGGCCAATGAACTGTGTGGTAGGGTCGGCGGGGTCTCGACAAATTTGGCAACTTACAAAAAAACGGGCCAAGCATTTGTCGCTGTTCATTTGTGGCTTACAGTTGCTGGCACTCCTCGAGATTTTCCTTACATATATTTTCCTTTTTCTTTTTTTTTGCGGCTTGTAAGAGTAGGCGGTTGTTGCTTTTGTTGGTCACACACAGCACACTTAAATGGCGGCTTTTTCTTGCTTAACTTTTCTTTTTGCCTTGAGAAATATTTTGGGGAATTGGCTCTTAAGCGACTTTTACATTTGCATAAGCTGGCACACAATTTTAAAACTGATTGCCGCTACTTTATTATCACTTAATGCGCGGGTTTCTTTTTCTCTTTTTATTTTTCTTTTTCCTTTTTATTTATCTTTATTTTTCTTGTTGTTTGCGGTTTTTTGTAACACTCGGTTTCTGAACACGATTCGCTAAGGAGTTCGTATGGAGGTCCTTTTGCCGATTTTCCGATTTTCCGTGTACCGCTAGAGAGCCAGCATCCTTTGCCGTCCGCCGTAATCGTCCTGTTTGACGCGCGCACGACTGAGTACTGAGTGCGATACCCGGCAGCGGCGCCAGCATCCTTCAAAGCGACAAAGCTACAAAATGTCCCCCGCTCTCGGCTTGACTCGGCAAGGTCGGAAAAGTCGGAAAACTCGGATGCTGTGTGCTCTTTGTACTAAAAAGGGCGGCTTCGGCCGCAGAGAGCGAGCGCACACGCATTTGTCTGCAAAGTGCGAAGAACACTGAGAGCGAGAGCCCAAAGGCAGACGCGTGTTTCTGGCAGTGTTACTGACCTAGTAACCGTTATCCTTTTTTTTGTAGTCCTGCTGTTCAAGTTTACTTCTTACCAGAACAGGAGCAACAATAACAACAACAACAACAGCGGGGGGATAGTACAACTTGTCGTCGGTTGGCCATTTTTATGGCCATCTCGTGAGTGCAGCACAAAATCTGCATTTGCATTGCCATTCTCGCATTTGGTTAGTTGTTAAGCCAAAGCCGAGTGTTGGTCGAAATCCATAACAACGAGAGAGCGGCTAAAATCAATTAAAGCGATTAAGCCAAATCTCCGGCAATGGCCAACAGTTTGGTAAACAGCTCAGAGTTGCCTTCAAAAATGTGAAGCAATTATCGGGCAAATAGCAGAAAAAGAAAGATTGTTTTCATGGAAATCAAGCAAGCATAAACTCAGAATTATTTGGGGAATGAAAACCTAAATGCTTAGCAGTAAAAGCCTTATGAAAGTAAAGACTTAACAGATATAATCTTAAAAAAGGGCTTGTAAAACATTAACAGAATAATAATTCAGCGAAAATGTAAGGTTTTTATGAATATAAGAATTGATGCTCTGCTGGAAAGTACAAAGGAAGTTTCAGAATTGTTTATGTAAAAGTTCCACACGGAAAAATAAATTAAAATATATTTATTCTCCCGCAGGGAATAATAATTTTAGTCAGTGAACGTGTCATTTCCGACTCCATAAATCATATATATTCTTAATCAGCTTAAACAGCTGAATCGATCTAGCCATGTCTGGCAGAAGAATAAATTTTTAAAATTTTTTCAAAATTGCAAAATTTTATAAGGGGCTACATCGTTAAAATTGTTAAAATTTGATAAAAAATTGAACTTCTTATACTTCAAAACTAAGTATACAGTTTTGTTAGCGCTATAAAAACTAGCATAGAAACGCTTTCCAAATGGAAATGAATGCAATTTTGCCGTAATTATGATGTTTAAAAATCACTGATTATTTAAAAAAATTGCCTGTTTTTATACCTTTTTGCAGGGATATATAATTTTGGTCAGAAGCTTTTAACAGCACCAACAAACGCAGTATGCAGATTTGTTAGCGCTTTAAAAAGGAACACAGAACAGCTGTCCGAATTGAAATGCATTATTTTTTAGCTTAATTATGATGTTTGAAAAACACAGGTTTTAAAAAAAAATTCCCTGTTTTTTACCTTTTTGCAGGGTATTTGTATTAATCAGAAGCTTATAACACAATGAAGGAACCATATCCGACCCTATAAATGATATATATTCTTAATCAGGATGAACAGCTGAATCAATCTAGCTGTGTCTGGTAGAAAAATAAATTTTAAAAAATTTTTCAAAATTGCAAAATTTTATAAGGGGTTACATCGTTAAAATTGTCAAAATTTGATAAAAAATTGAACTTCTTATACTTCAAAACTAAGTATACAGTTTTGTTAGCGCTATAAAAACTAGCATAGAAACGCTTTCCAAATAGAAATGAATGCAATTTTGCCGTAATTATGATGTTTGAAAATCACTGATTATTCAAAAAAATTGCCTGTTTTTATACCTTTTTGCAGAGATATATAATTTTGGTCAGAAGCTTTTAACAGCATCAACAAACGCAGTATGCAGATGTGTTAGCGCTTTAAAATGGAACACAGAACAGCTCTCCGAATTGAAATGCATTATTTTTTAGCTTAATTATGATGTTTGAAAAACACTGGTTTTTAAAAAAATTGCCTGTTTTTATACCTTTTTGCAGGGTATTTGTATTAATCAGAAGCTTATAACACAATGAAGGAACCATATTCGACCCTATAAATGATATATATTCTTGATCAGCATGAACAGCTGAATCGATCTAGCCATGTCTGGTAGAAAAATAAATTTTTAAAATTTTTTCAAAATTGCAAAAATTTATAAGGGTTACATCGGTAAAATTGTTAAAATTTGATAAAATATGGAACTTCTTATTCTTCAAAACTAAGTATACAGTTTTGTTAGCGCTATAAAAAGTAGCATAGAAACGCTTTCAAAATGGAAATTAATGCAATTTTGCCGTAATTATGATGTTTGAAAATCACTGATTATTCAAAAAATTGCCTGTTTTTATACCTTTTTGCAGGGATATATAATATTGGTCAGAAGCTTTTAACAGCATCAACAAACGCAGTATGCAGATTTGTTAGCGCTTTAAAAAGGAACACAGAACAGCTCTCCGAATTGGAATAAATTAGTTTTTAGCTTAATTATGATTATTAAAAAACATTGGTTTTTATTATATTATAAAAAAGCATTTTACCAAAAAAATGGCACTATAAATATTGATTTAATATCTCTATAATACATATATTATAAGATTTATTTTTGGTATGACAAAAGTGATATATATTTCAAATTCAAATACACATTTTAATACACTTGATGTATACATTTATTTATATGAGCGAATATATACCGTTTTTTGGCCATACCTTTCCAACAATTTGGTGAATCAGAAAATGTTATTTTCGTAGAACAATTCTATATATTCACAGTACGCTGTGAATATCAATTTGAAACAGATATTCTGTTGTATTGTACAGAATTTTGATTGCCCCAGAATTTGGCATAGTCTGCAGTGCAATAGAATTGGAGGGATTAAATAAGCGACAGCAGAACAAACCATTTTACATGGCAATTATGCAGAAACAAGGACTCCCAGTCCTGACCCCACTTCACCCCCTGACTGGTTGGGAATTCGTGTAGAACTAGACCCATTTCAGCAGTCAATTCAAGGATGAAGCTTCGTCCTGCAGGAGCAACATGTGTGCACGCGTCGCTGCTCATTCGAAATTCAATTTTCAATAAATGCACACAAATTGATTTCCAGCTCCGGGCCCTTCAAGCGGTGTTACAGAACTCGGCACACCCCGCACACACATCTGCTCCCCACCCTGGAATATTCGAACTCACACCTGCATTAAGGGTAAAACTTTTCAATTTACGTTCTGTTGTTTTTTAGCATCAAATATCCCGAGCTGTCAAAAGTATTTGTCGAGAGATTTTCGGCTACATTTCTGTGATGGCATGTGAAGGGCTCTGGCTCCTGCTCCAGCTCCAGCTCCAGCTTCTCCGATCAGTGGCCCTTTTATCTCTGGGTCGCTTATTAGACTTTTTGTACGCCACTTAAAGCAATTTCAATTCAACTTCATGCACTGAAAATAATTTCTTATTTTAATTGCCTTGGAAAATAATTGATATCAAAGAAAGATGTATGAAAACTAAATAACAAATAGAACACTTAGTTCATGTATCGTTGTTTAAACTTAATAAGTATAGATTTCATTAACTATTAGTTAAGAACTGTAAGCACATTAAGGCTTTAAGGCTTCTATTGCATTTATTCTCTTCTGAATCGAGCAATTTCATGCTAGACTTTAAATTAGACATTTTACAATGGATATTTAATTTATAATTTGACATCTTCATTTATTTTTCTGTACACTTCAGATTTGTTATTCCGTACGCACCTACGCCGTACTCCATATGCCACACGTCTGCTCGCTTATCCGCGCCTGAAATTCCGCATCATGCAGCGCAAACACTTGTTAATTACTTTTATTATATCCACAGCTTCACTTGCACAGTCACGCAATTCATCGGGCCCGGATCCGGATCCGGTTTGGAGCAGACAGCGGGTGTTGGTCCGGGTCCGGGTCCGGGTCCTGGTTTGCCGAGTTCGAAGGGGAGGGAGTGACGGCAATGGCATTATTGCCTGTTGCTCTTGCCAGTGGCACTGCGCCACCACAGCTGATGTGGTCGGCCGTAAACATGTGGGTGCGAGTCTCCATCGGAGTCCCCAGTCCGTGGTCCATATTCCGTATTCCGTATTCCGTACTTCATGCCGCATTCCGTAGTCGACAGTAACGGGTCCGTCGTCACACACAAGTAATTGCAATCAGCACCTTGGCAACGAGCAGCTGGGCCAAAAAAGAGCGCTTTCACGGACGTATTTATTTATAAAGCAGCCCGTAACTCACAGTGCGTGCTGTCGTATATCTTAACCCGCAACTGCCCCCGGACGAAGGATTCGGAGATTTCGAGGAGCTGTGAAGCTCAGGCGAGTGGATTTAAATTTATTGGTAAATAATGAGGTGCCCCGCCACAGCATTTAAGCTTGCCTTTCAACTCTTTTTGGCAGGTGTTCTAGTGTTAAATGATCATCTGTCTGCAATTTATATGCTAATTAAGTATTCTTAATTGTAATGTCTTAAGTACAGAGAGGAAAAGTGGGGAACAAGTTAAGAACTAAGTTAATTTTAGGGTAGTTTATATAAATTAATAGCTAAAATACCGGTAAGGTAACAATATAATCATTATTTAATAGTGATTTACATATTGTTATAAATATTTAATTTTTCCTTGAATAAATATTATAGTAAAGACTTGTCAGAGATTTTGTATGTTATATTTGTTAAATATTAAATAACAGATGGATAAATAATATCCAAATCTGGATTATAAATTAATTTAAATATATTTTCGTGGGTATATTTTTTACGACAAGAATTTGCAGTGTGATTTTATTTACCGATAAAATGTCGCATTGCCTGACC